TCAGCACTACAGAACAAGGTCAATCTTCACTCTGTTTTTTTTGTGGGAATTTTTTGGGAGAAGCCTGAGACAGTGGCAGCAGCGTTCGCTGAGGTCATGGGACGAAAGTTAAAAAGGACAATTGGCGCAGGAATAGTTCTGATTATAGAAAGGATCCAAATTTTGACTCGCGAGACAGATACAGAATCTATGCTTGATGCCTTAAAACTCCATTTTCGCCTATTTCAGTGAGGCTTGATTTTGACAGCCCATGGTATGCTACTACTTTTTCAATTTGGAGATGTTGCAAACAACGGATATTCTCTTTTGGGCTGAAGACGATGACGTTTTGCTGAAGTTACGATGGGTTAATTAATTCCACCGTATGGAGTTCTAACAAAATCACAACTCTTGTAATTTTATGTATTGACAAGAAGTTGATGGGACTGGGCTAGGTTGAACTTCAAGCACCAAATAAAAAATTTAAAAAAGCTGCCAAAACGCAAAAGGCGTTATTGTTGCGTTGAAAAGTATAATTTTGTACTTAATAAATACAAGCTAGACAATTTATGAAAGTCCAAACGAACTCTGGCAAACAGATGGAACTTATGGCCCCTCTGCTTCTTACCCATAGCTTAATTACGAAGAGCATAAACTTGATGGCTTACTTGTCTCTCAGCTTCATGACTCATTTTAAAGAAACGTTGCGCACGTACGAAAAGCACTTTTATTTCCAGAGTCCGAGCTATATGTATTAGAGTACAATTATTCTAAATCGGCATTTCAGCAGCTACTTTCGTGAGACAGCTTACTGAATACAATATCTTAGAAGAAACTGTGCTTGTGTATTTAAAGGTAAGGTAAGTACATCTGCATGAACGTATTCCAAAACAACTGCTGTTGATGTTTTGAAGTACGACGCATTTTTTTTCATGCAAAACACGAAGGAAAAAGCGCGATTTTATCTTTAGACTAAGGTACGGCCTTTTTTCTTTGTCCCATATCACAAGGATACAAAACGATATTTTGGCACAGACTCTAGGGAATATGCTCGCACTCTATTTGAAAAGGTCTGTCCTTATCGTTTGTAAAGACCTAATCAACAACGATACTTACTTACTTACTTACTTAGATACTTAGATGGCCTGTCTTCACTTGTCGTGCAGGCCACAGCACTG